CCTTAATGGAAATAATTAACAAGAACTTTTAAACACTTTCAAAAAATATGCTAAACACCAATCCAGGTACTTTACAATCATTTAATCATTCCAATACCCTACATGGTATAGTTTATTAGCCTGTTTTGAAAACAAGGAAACTAAGGTACACAACAAAGGTAACTTTTCCAGCTTTTGTAGCAAAGTCCAACTCCAGAATGCCTGGTCTTAACCATTACTCTGCATTATCCATACAGCAATTCTCTAAATTTCAGATGTACTGAGCATGAGAAATCCAGTGCAATTTTTTTTTGTTTTCAGGAAGGAGATAATTTTTTTCTTTTATTTTTGCATATGAGAACTGGGGTGCAGGTCAGAGGTGTAGGGGGTAAGAGTATTCACAGAGGCAAAGGGGGAGCAGAACAGGTAGATTTACTGAAATACACTGCGAAGGGAGCAGCTGCTGAGACAGACAGAAGTCTGTTGCACTGTATGTGGATGCTCCCTGGCAAGGGATCAAACTCAGGCCATAGCAGTAGTAGCATTGAGACTTAATGCCTAGGCTCACTAGAGCATTCTTAAAAGGTTTCTTTTGTCACTTTAAAAAAAGTGAGATTACTAAAAGGAATAATTTAACAAAATTGTATTACTTACATTACAAAATCAACTACATTGACCTTGTACGTCTAAACCACCTAACAACTATAAACTATTCAGTTTAATTCCACAAACACTTCTGATTGCTCACTATGGGCAAGGCACTGTGGCCAAGCACTGTTATAAATATTAATGACTCAGAGATGTTGTCACAAAGGAAAAATTTTTGGCATTCCACAGATAATACCTTTGGAGGATAACACCTATCAATCAAGGTTTAAAAGTTATAATTCCAGCCCTCTCTGGTGGCGCAGCAGGTTAAAGCACAGCACTAAGAAGCTAAAGCCACTTCCACGTGAGTTCGAGTCCCGCCTGCCCCGGAGGTGACCACATGGCGTGGTAGACCTCTCCTGACCCGCCCGCTGCTCCCCTCAGCAGTGTACTTCGTCGATCTGCCTGTTCTGCTCCCTACTCTGTCTCTGGTGAATCCTCTCACCACCCTGCACCTCTAGCCTGTACCCTGGTTCTGTATGCATAAATAAATATTTAAAAAAAGTTATAATTCCTTGGCATTATAATAATAATCAAAGATTATTTGTTGGAGAAGCAACATAATTTTGAAAGCACTCCAGAATAAGGGCTTTTGTGGTGAAAGCGCTGAATCCTAGCCACTAGATCACCAGAGAGCCAGTGAGTAAGGGCTTTTGTAAGGAATGGCAATTTGTCATTTCCTTGGGTTTTATGGGAAAGCAGTAAAGAGTAAAATGTTTAACTTAACGGGCTTGAACTTTAGGGGTGGGGGACTACATTCCCCATAAGAATTCCAGAAAACCAAAAGAATAAGGCAGAGGCTCACAGCTAACTCATAGCTCTACCAAAGTCACAAGCCTAGTAGGTTGTGAATCCTTGTTTTGTAACTGTACTTAGATATTATTAAGTACCCAGAGATTTAACATTAAATAATTCCAAGTTCTAAATATTCAGTGTAATATGAGCCTACTATTTACATCCTTATAAATTTGGGCCCTATATCAACAATAACATTCTTTTTTGTACCTGTAAGGTGTTATAATCTCTTGTGAAGGGAACCATCAGCTCCCAGAGTGATGAAAAAACCACCAGAGCTGTAAATTCAAGCTTGTAATTTGTGGCCATGTGCTCAAATAGCATGGTCAAACCATGGGCTGCTAGGTGCTTGCGCTGATACTCCTCGGACCCCTCCACAGACACCGGGCGGGTCATAGAAAGGGAAACATCCATTACCACCACTGTAGGCATGATGAAAACGATCCCAGTATTCCCAATCAGCATGCAAACAGACAGCTATACAGGGAGAAATGCTGCAGAAAATAAATATAATTAGGCATTACATGTTAAGAAGAGGACAAAGTATTTTTTTAACCACAACTTCAATCAAATTGTCTGAAGTGGGTGACAGCAAATCCCACTTAAGTTGAGGTGAGGGCAAAACTGAAGAGAATTCAGTGGAAGGGAACCAAACAGCTTAGTTCACTTAGGGTTACTCCCAGAAACAGCCACTAAAATGGCCACAAATCAAGGATCCCCTAAGTGTTTCTAGTAAGAAAAAAACATTCAATCCAGGTAACCCCATTTAATTTGCTATTCATGTTTCCCGTTTCTTCTTGACATAATTACTAAGGTCCCTTCCAATGAGTATGAGAGTCTCCTCTTTTAATTAATTTTTACACCATCAGCATGCATTCTACTTTTCTCAGGAATCTTCTGTACTCATCCTTCCTCTTTCAAAATTGCTGCTTCTTGGCTCTAAGTGACTGGAAAGCCAGATAATCAAATTTGTCATATAATAGCATTGAAAGTCAGAGTTAACAGGCTCTAAAAGCCCATGTTTCCCCCCCTCCCCAGGATAAAATGCATGAGCTTATGTGTATCAGCGTCATACTATTTTATCTACTCTTTCTTTCCTTTCTGGGTACCAAATGAATTGTTCCAGTGAGGTGCTGTAAAATACTGGTTCAGCTATGCTGCATTAAATCACATAAGCTTACGAAGAGCAAAAGCCATGTCAAATTTTGTCCAACAATGTCTCCTCAGAGTCTATCACAGTGCTGGTACATACTGCACACTTTATAATTATTTGATAGTGACTAATAAATTGTCCCTAGTCACTAGATACACTATTAATTCTCTGGCAAAATACATTATGAACTTTAACTCTGGAGACTGGAAACATATTTACCTTCAACCCCCCCCCCCTCGTTCAGAGATACTAGGGAGTCCTATGTCTCTGTTCATGTAGAGTTTATCCAGCTGCTGTGGGAGTTCCATTCATGTACAGAGGCCTTATGTTATTGAAAATTGGGGCTTAATGGGAATATTGCACTCACCTCTTAGGAAAATGGGAATCAGGACACACAGATTTAGATTAGGTATAAGAAGGCCCATGAAATCTACTGTAATACTGGAATGGGTGACCATAGCTGGCAGTCTTGCCTTCTCTGAAGACATCTCTAGAGCTCTTTTTCCTGTCTCATGTATTTGTGTCCACCACTGAATATACCTCCTTAACTGCGGTAAAGCCTTAGGAAATATTTTCAATATTCGGGTTGTAAGCACAGAAGTAGAAGAGCCAACTGAATGTTCTTGAAGGATGTTACACTCAGGCAGTCTTAGGCCTGGGGGTAAAAAATCCCTGCCTCCCATAAACCTAGCAGTTTTGTGAGAACACAGTGTATTTCTCACGAGTTGATTCTGACCCTTCAGTCCCTCACTCCACCTTTACATCTTTCCCATAAGTACTGTTTACATACAATGCTTAAAATAACCAGGAGCCTTCTTTCTTAAGAGTAGTCTATTTACGGGAATAAGCCTAAGCCACCTGTATTGGCCCAAATGCCAACTCTCCATCAGATACACACTTATGATTTTTCTCTAAAGGTAACAATTAGTTCACTGAAAAGAATTTCTTCTCAGTTTCGCTCTCAAAGGTGACTCCACTTAAATGTCTAGAGGCCTGCCCAACCGTGAGAGTCCTCACCTACTCTTAGGTTCCCTTACCCGCTCTGACATCCTTTCCAAGAGTCAGTCCCTCCCGTGTTTTCAGATGCAATTTTATTTCTAAAAGGCCAACCTGGAATACAGAATTCCGGAACTTGTATGGCATCTGGGGATGTATTTATTTTATTTTTTTTTAACCTTCAAACCGGTCAAAACACAACACGGAAAACTGTTAAGTCCCTTACGAGAAAGAGGCTAGGGCAGGCGACCGAAATCTTGGTGCTTACGCGGAGCGGGATATTCCGAGCCACACAGACCAAGAGGAGGTCCCGCTATTGCCCCCCACCCCTAATCTCTACTTCCACTGCCCCAACCTCCAACGAAACACACCTCCAGGGTTCGGCCTCCCCTACTCACCCCGCGCCCATCGCCGGCACAGTCCGTCTGCAAAAACTTTCCGCCCGCGCGCCACGGCCGGAAATACAGGGCCGCGCGACAAAAGGGCGGGGCGGGGCTTTAAGGGGGAGAGGGCGTGGTCTGGCCTGGCGCCGACGCAATGGGGCGGGGACGCTAGAGGGCGCGTCCTCCTCGGAGCTTCTGTGGAGATCAGTCCGCCCAGACTCCTCACCTCACAAAACCTCTGACAGGTTTCCTCTCTTTCCTTCCCTCCATTCCCTCTCCGTCCAGTTCTCTGTCCCTCCTCATCTCGTCCTCTTCCCCCTCACTTACCCGGGGCTTCGCTGGCCGCTGGCCTTCTCATGTCTGTCTCCTCACTCACCTGGGCGGGTAGGTGCACCAGCCTGACACTTGCTGCTGTTTGCCCCTCTTCCTCGTCATTCTTCAGACCCCTCATTCATACCCTCTGAACCAGTTAACGCAGTCTTCCTCCTGCTCTTGTAAAACTTTGAGGGAAGCAGAGGGAAAGTTCAGTTCTCTCTACTCTGGCCAAGGTGCATTGCAAACAGCTTTGCAACCTGTTTCCTTGTGAGGCCTCCAGGACTCTTGTCTGCTCCACTCTGGCCACCTGGTGTCCCCATGGCAGCTTTGCCACAATGAGTTCCTTGAGGTAGAAAGTGTCACTTTCTTTCTAACCATGTAGGGAGCCAGGAAATACCAGCCAGAGGTAGACCTGAATGGATGCCACCGGGCACCTGGATAGTTGTGGCTCCTAGAGCAGTGTTGTACCACATAGGTTACCAGTGGGAAGAGAACCGCCTCTACAAAGTCTTAAGACTGTCCCCTTTTTTTCTCTTAGTTGGGAGATGGAGTAAGGTAAAGGTTGGGTCCAGGAGGGAGAATGCTTTGAACAGTATACCCCAGTGTGTCTTAATTTTCACAGTTTGTTCTGCTTGTAGCTCTTTCCATTCTCCTCATTTCAGAGGTGACAAAGGAAGATGCCTCAGTCCCTGGGATGCTCCTGCGGGCATCAGGGCCCAGGGGCTCACAGACTGCCCTGTTTGCTTCAGAACTTCTTTACCCAGCTCAACTAACTAGTCTCACCACCTCAAGGCTTTGTTATGTTTGAGCAGGCATAGGTTCCAGGTAAGTAAGGCCATCCTGATTATTTGGTTACGTTTCTAATTCTTTTCTCTAGTGGGAGAGATGTGAACAAGAATGTGTGGGAAGAGGACTTGTCCTGGTAGTTACAGTTCAGTTCCATGGGTGAGTTGTTATTTTGCCCAGTTTCTAAAACTTAAGCTTATTAGTTTGCTGGTGGGTGGTCTGGTCTTGGACACCTAGTTCTGCTGATATTGGCTTTCAGGAGACTAGAGAAGCTAAAGGGCAAGTCATTAAAATTGAGCTCAGGTTTACCAAGTGGTAGAATTACCAAGAGAATTTACCACTTAGGGCAACTCACAAGTATTTTTTAAAAGATTTATTTATGCTTCATTTCATTCCCACTTACATCAGCTCTTGCCTTGAGTTGGAAAGGCAATTCTGCAGGTCCCTTGGGATGTCCCAGCTTGCTCTGGGGAGAGCTTCCATTGTCCTCTCCCTCAAGGATTTTCTGTAGACCTAATATGGTAATTTTCATGTGTGAAATGCTTTTAAGTTTGCAAGTATTTCCCCTGTATTCCCTCATTTTAAAAAATAGACTATTAGTGCAGTTTTAGGTCTACAACAAAATTGAGTTCCTTCTTTTTTTTTTTTTAAAGATTTATTTATTTATGCTTACAGAACTGGGGTACGGTGCAGTGGGTGAGAGGATTCACCAGAGACAGAGTGGGAGCAGAACAGACAGATCTACTGCTGCGGGGAGCAGCGGGCAGGTCAGGAGAGGTCTGCCGCGCCATGTGGGTCAGGTCCCTGGCTTGGTATTAAACCTTTGCTGCAGTGGCTTCTAAGAGCTTCATCGTGTGGTACTTTATTTAACCTGTTGTGCCACCAGGCAAAGCCTGAGTTCCTTCATTTTTAATTTTGATTCTGACATTCTTGCTACAAATAGATAGAAAAGGTACTGTTATCTCCACGTTTTCTTTTTAAAATTTATTTATGCATACCAGAACTGGGATACAGACCAGTGGTGTGGGGGTGAGAGCACTCACCAGAGACAGAATGGGGAGCAGAACAGACAGATCAACTGAAGAACACTGCTGAGGGGAGCAGTGGGTAAGACAGGAGAGGTCTGCTGCACCATGTGGGTCACATTCCTGGCTAAGAATGAAACTCATGCTGCACTGGCTGCAGATGGCTTCATAGTGCTGTGCTTTAACCCATAGCACCACCAGGGAGGGCCCGATCTCCACATTTTCATTTAGATTACACTTAGAATCACACAGTAGCAAACAAGCTAATGTGTACTAAGGTCCTCTGATCTCTTCAGCCCCAGGTACTTTCTTTTGGTTTCAGTTCCTTTTGACTCTTTTCAGATCTTTCCTCCCCTTAGGCACCTGTATCTTGGACTACCTCTCATTTGCATCCTTTAGAAACAAGTGTGAGTTGTTCTTCTAGTTTCCCCCTGATTGCAAGGGCCCTGGAAGAACGCATCTGTGCTCTGTGGAAGAGCCACACTCTCAGGATCTGTCAGAAGCACTGGTACCTAGAGCTTGTACAATGCCCTGATAAGCTTCTTAGAGGCAGGTATTAGCAGGGATTGGATATTCCTCCCCTGAGATGCCCTTCATACCCAACCCTGCCTTGAATTAGGATTCCATGTGGGAACTGGGGGCAGGTGAAGGGGGTGTTCCCTGCTGCTCAGCATCAGACCCACTCTTTGAGACCCTGAATTCTGGCAATTTTCCAGAACTGAGAAGACAGCCAGATATCCTGGTTTGAAGGTAAATGGTGTGAATAGGTTGAGGGGGATCAGCTGAGGTGTCAGCTCAGCTCGATTACATAACAGATATACTAGGGGAGTAACACTTTTAAGTATTTCAGGAGATTGAAGTGGGCTTGCTTGAAAGCGTTGTTTACAGTAAGGAACTGAATGGACAGGGAGATTGTGGAAAGATGATTATAGGAATCTAGGACAAAGAACAAAATTCACTTATTCTGTATTCCTCTTATTTGTCCCTCTTTTGCTTAAGACAATTGCAATTGCAATTAGTATGGTATGCTGGAAAATTTGGAGCATTAGAAGGTTCATCTGCCCTGTTACTTACTATCTTTGTGACAGTGAGCAAGTCATAACTCTCTGAACCTCAGTATCTTCATGTCTCAAATTGAGAGTCACACTGAACAGTACTTGTAGTTTTTTCTGTTTTTAAAAACCTAAGATTCTGTAGGTTACACATCTCACTTCTAATGTATTACTTCATATGGAAAACCTGTGTTTTCTGATTATTGTTTTTAATAGTCTGTGGACAATGGTTAATAAATATACTCAGGCTAGGCCACCATGCTCTTCTTTATAAACATAGGATTCTTGAGTGGAGCCTTTCATGGTCTTCCTTTCTGAGAAATTAACCCTTAGGTAGTGCATGGTTTTGTACAATACTTTTCTTTTTCGTTTTTTTAAAGATTTATTTATTTATGAATACAAGAACTGGGGTACAGGCCAGACATGTGAGGGTGGGGGGTGAGAAGATTCACCAGAAACACTGGGGAACAGAACAGGCAGATGTACTGAAATACACTTCTAAGAGGGGGCAGCGGGCAGGTCAGAAGAGGTCTGCCATGCCATTTGGGTCACCTCCATGGCCAGGGATCAAACTCCTGCTGCAGTGCTTCAGATGGCTTCATAGTGCTGTGGTTTAACCCATTGTACCACCAGGGAGTGCCCAATTTTGTACAATACTTTTCATGGTCCAGTATTTTTATGCTGCCAACATTCCTGTGACCCATATTATGGCTACTATTTACATAGATAAGTATTGTTATTCCTATTAAAGTTAATTTAAAATTTAAATATAACATTTACATGATAAGAAGTTAAACAGTTAAACCGAATAGTAGGATAGACTGAAAGGTAAGATTTCCTATAACCCATGACCCTTAGTTTCCTTTCCTCAGATGTCCTTCCAGAGATCATCTTTGTATAAATCAACTTCTATGTAATCATGTCATGCTCATTTCACACATAAGGCACGGAGGCTCTCCCTGTCCAGGGTGACGCTATAGGAAACAGCAGAACTGAGAATCTGAGCCTTTGACTCTGTTCCTTATGATCCTCCCACCACACCACACTGTCTGGGAAGCACCAAGACATTCCCTTTCAAGTTTTGACCTCTCAATTGTATGGTGGGATCATTTTGAGTCAGTACAGATTCAGTACAGTGTCTCTACCTGCCTGCCACAGTTGCCTTTTTTTTGACTAAAGCTTAAAATTGTGCCACTTTTCTTCCTCTTGCCTATAATGAGGTGGGCTCTGGGCACCAGCTATGGATGATCGAGCTCCCAGAAACTGAGGATGAGCTGGGGAGTATTGGTGCTCTTCTTGTGGGGAGCCCAGTTAGGACTGGGTGGACCCAGCTCAGGAATCTGGGCTGTTGCCCCTACACAGCACAGAGGAGAGCCCGCTATAATCCACCATCTCCTTTCCTCCCCCTGTGAACACTCATCACTCCTATTGCAGGGGCCAGGAGTATCTTTGCTCCTGCAGAAGTAACTGCATCTTACTGCAAAGGCACCTGTGAATTGTCACTCTTCCAGTTGAGAGTTTGGTGGAGCCCAAATCTTGCGGTCAAATAACCCCTTTTTTCCCCCTAGGTTTGTGGATACACCTTGACTGGACTTCATGGAGAAATCTTCCCTGATCACTAACTTGAATCCCAGGACAGCTCTCATCTTTCCCTCAACAGAATGAGGGGCCTTCTATAGCCACACATAATTGGCCATTATGGGGAAGTTTATCAAGATGGGGGCACAGGGAAGGCTGTTACTCCAGCCAAAGCGACTTAACTGGAGTCGCTTTCTCTTCTTATTGGGAATGCTGATCATTGTTTCTACCTACCAGCACCTGAGGACCCCCCAGAGGCTCCCCTCACTCTGGGCAGGAGTCTCATCCCAACACCCTGTGAAACTGTCCAGCAGAGACCTCCCTAGTGTAATAATGGTGAACAGTGGCCCTCTGAAAGCTAGCTCTGAAATGGAGAGTGAGACACAGATGCCCCAAGCCATAAAGGACAGGGATGAAGCAACACCCGGCAGAATAACAGAGAACGTCCCCAGTACACCCAGGAGAACAGCCAATATCTCTCCAAAACTCTCCAAGAATAAATACAGCCCAATAGCAGTGAGTCCAGAAAGAGTGAAGGGAAACACCCCCACCACAGCTAGTAGAATACTAACTCACTATACTCCAGTTCCAGCCAGGCCAACAGTAAGGAATTATACCACAACAACACCCAAGAGAGAAATGAAGAGCTCCCATCCAACTCAAGCCAGGGAAAAAGTGAAGAAATACACTCCGTCCCCACTTGGTGGAACAATAGACAGTGATGCTCCACCCACACTCATCACTGTGGTAAGAAGCCATGGACTCAACCCCAGAACAGCACAGAGAGACAGTGAAATTATGACAACCTCCAAAGTGTTGGAGAACAACCCTTCCCAGAGCATAGCGGAGAAAACCACCCCAATTAATCTCAAGAAAATAATTGCTAACACTCCAACTTTCCTGATGAATGACGTAGAAACAAATACCTTGGAAAAGAATACCCTGATTACCCCCAGAAGAGTGGACAATAACAGCTCAAGCAAACCCCAGGAGTTAGTGGGAGAGAGCAACCTGACAGCGCCCCAAGGAGCAGCTGTGGATCACACCCTAGATGTCTCTGAGGAGCAGGAGATGAGCACAACGGCAGACATCAGCCATGCAGAAACCAAAGCCTCTGTTGCTGCCTGGAGTGGAAGGAACCCCTCTTTCAGAACCAGTGCGCCCAGCACTGGATTACCCTCAGCCGCCTCCCGGGAGCTGACCAGGAAACTTTCCACAACACCTAGCACCTCAGCAACTTCTAGAAGCAGAGCAGATCCAGTCACCCAGGCTCATCATTATGTGGCTGTGCCCAGTGCCCCCTCCCCGCACCAGACAGCAGCCATGACCCCAGAGGTGCCCAGTCCCAGTCCCTCAGTACTGCCTTCCAGGTGGCCAGACCTCCACCCGCAGGGAGAATACCCTCCGGACTTGTTTAGCGTGGAGGAGCGACGGCAGGGCTGGTTGGTCCTGCACATCTTTGGCATGATGTACGTGTTTGTGGCCTTGGCCATCGTGTGTGATGAGTACTTTGTTCCATCCCTGGGTGTCATCACAGAGAAACTGCAGATCTCTGAGGATGTGGCAGGCGCTACATTCATGGCTGCCGGAGGTTCTGCCCCAGAGCTCTTCACGTCCCTCATTGGTGTCTTTATCTCCCACAGTAATGTGGGCATTGGTACCATCGTGGGCTCTGCTGTGTTTAACATTCTGTTTGTCATCGGCACCTGTTCCCTCTTCTCTCGGGAGATCCTCCACCTCACCTGGTGGCCCTTGTTCCGTGATGTCTCCTTCTACATCCTTGACCTGATGATGCTCATCATGTTCTTCCTGGATAGCCTCATTGCCTGGTGGGAGAGCCTACTACTGCTGCTGGCCTATGCCTTCTATGTGTTCACCATGAAGTGGAATAAGCAGCTTGAAGTCTGCATGAAGGAGCATCTCAGCAAAGGGCCTGTGACCAAGGTGATGGCCTTAGGGGACCTCAGCAAGGTAAGGCCAGGCTGGCACATGCTTCTCTAAACCCTTTGGGGCAAAAGAAATGGGGTGGTGGTGGGTGGGTATGGGGACTAAAGAGCCGAAAGTATTGGATCATACCTTGAGAGAAGTGTGCTCTGGTTCCCTTGATGTTCATTCAGCACTTAGACACCTGTTCTCTGCCAGGAATGGTGCTTACACTCACCTCGGCTTGACCTCCAGTTACCTTATAAAATAGTTATTATTGTGATCTTCCACTGGCAGAGGAAGACACTGTGTCCTATTAAAGTTAAACCACTCATTCAAGGCCACATAGCAAATAGACAGTGGGGCATCAGTTTGAACACCAGTTGGTATCCCTGGTTCTTTGAAAATGACATTTGAGCTGGACTTTGGAAAATGCCCAAGGGGAAACTGCCAAGGGGCAGGGGAAAATGATAATCTTTCCCATGTGCATAGTGTTTAGGGTTTATCTAGCACCCTCATTTTCATTTAATCCTGTTTGTTCACATTCCATATTGGAGGGGCTGGTACTTTGGATGGGGTGTGATCGAGCAAATTTTTTTTTTTTAATAACAGTTTATTTTACATTTTTACATTTTTTTTCTATCTCAATTGTAGTCCCCGCGGGTTTCCCATCACCAAGTCACCCGTGTGCCATCACCATAATCCCGTGCACTTCCCTCCCCACCCCCCCGTGTTTGATCCTATTCCCCACTCCGCCCCCACAAAATGTCTCTGGTATATGGCTGTTCTTTATTCTTGTTATTTTCTTGCCCGGTATTTTTCTTTCTCTTTCTGGCTTATCTCGCTAAGCATGATCTTTTCCAGCTACATCCAAGTTGCTGCAAAAGACATGTGTTTCTCTTTTTTGGTTGCTGAGTAATATTCCATTGTATATATGTACCACATATATCTACTTTTGGGCATTTGAGCTGCTTCCATGTTTTTCCAATTGTAAATAAAGCAGCAATAAATATGGGGTGCAGGTATCTTTTTCAATCAGTGTTTTTGTGTCTTTTGGGTAGATACCTACGAGTGGGATTGCTGGGTCGTAGGGAAGCTCCATGTTTAGCAGCTTGAGGAACCTCCAAACAGTTTTCCATAGTGGTTGTACTGAGTTTGCGTTCCCACCAGCAGTGCAGGAGAGTTCCTTTTTCTTCACATCCTCACCAACATTTGTTGTTGCTAGTTGTTTGAAGATGTGCCATTCTCACTGGGGTGAGGTGGTATCTCATTGTGGTTTTAATTTGCATCTCCCTTACTAGATTTTTTGGTTTTATATCTTGGAGAAGATGGGAACCCTGCTCACACTGACAAACCAGCCATGGGGGTGGAGCCATCTGTGCTGGCAGGAGACCAGATACCAGATACCCTGGGACTTTCTCCTAGGCCCAAAGTTTCTTTCCAAGAATTTCTTTGTGCCTGTGAGCAACCTTCTCGTTCAACTCCTTGCATGAGTCTATAACCAAAAGATGAGATCAAAGTGGGGAAGTGAGCTCTGAAATTTGTCTCAGAGATAGTTGGAACTCCAAAGTGAGGGAACAGACACCATTTCTCTCCTGCTTTGAAGAGGTGAGTTTGGGCAAAGATTGGCTCATAGTTGCTTGTTTCAGGTCTCAGAGAAGTCCCTGCTGTGAGCAGAATTTTATGTGCGAAGAGTGGAAGGACTTAGCAACTTAATCGAGAGCACTTTTGATGGGGTAGGCACTGAACTCAATCTCAACAGTATGTGTCAGAGATTCATGGTGCAAGGGAGATGAAATGTACTTCACTTAGGATTCTTGAGGTAATGTGTCCTGGCCAAAGCATGGGATTGAGAGTTAGACAGTCGGTATTGTAACCCAATTCTGCCTCTAACTGTATGAGATTGGACACATTTTATCCCTTCTCTGAGGGAAATGGCAAAAGGTCCTGTTTAGCGCCAACATTCATTGATAATGCTGTGTTCAAGGGAGAACTGTAATTTGTCTGACCTAGTCAACTGAGCTCCAAATGCCTTCTTTGCAGGAAGCCCCCCTAGAGAGGTGTGCCCTGCCCAAGATCATTCAACCAGCAGATTTCAGAACTGGTATCCAAATTCCCCACTCACGATTATTTCCACCAAACTATTGCTCCATGATTTCAAAGGCTTAAAAAAAGAAAGGGAAGCTCAGAGCAACGTATTGTGTAATATGAGGAAAAAGGGTCTCCTTCCTAGTGAAGTTCTCAAGGTAGGCCTTGCTGAGGGGACTATGGGGTGCCAGTGCTGTCCTCCAAGAGAAGCAGTTTTCAAAATGCCTCTGTTCGCCTCCCAGCCCTTCATAGTAAATTCCATTTTACTTAAACTACAATTTCTAGAACTTCCATTTCATCAGAGCTAAACTGTCAAAGCAAAGTTTGCCAAGAATTACTGATTTAAAAAGGGAATTTCTTTTTAAAAAAATTTTTTACATTGTTCATTTTTGCACATAATTTCTCACTTTGGGTGTAGTCCCCATAAATCTCCCACCTCCAAATCACCCATGAATTATCTCCAGAAACCCTGTGTTCTTCTCTCCCTGTTCAAAAATGATTTTCTAACCTATTTAAGAGACTTTTCAAAAACTTTAGCAGCAGCTCTTTGCCAACCATTGAAATCATCAGTGGTGCTGATTACAACTCCATCCTTGTCTATTTGTTGAAATAGACTCAGTATGACTTTTTAATTAGTAGCATCAGTTTTTAAAAAGAGGTTGAATTACTGGCTATAATTGAAATTATAGCTCTATATTTATTTAAAATAGAAAATCTATATTTAGGATTTTTCATCACTAAAACTGCCTTCTAAAAGTCCACCTAAATAACTCAAGAAATATAGCTGTTTTTAAATGACTTTTTTTTTCTGATTTCTTTTTTTAATATGATAGTTTATTTTTACATCATTTTGTACATTTTTTTTTTTCATCTCAATAGTAATCCCCATGGGTTTCCCGTCACCAAGTCACCCATGTGCCATCACCATAGTCATGACCTTTTTATTTTTAAGATTTATTTATTAATTTATGCATACAGAACTGGGGTACAGGCCAGAGGTGCAGGGGCAGTGAGAGTATTCACCAGAGACAGAGTGGGGAGCAGAACATGCTGACTGATGAAGTACACTGCTGAGGGGAGCAGCAGGTGAGTTATGTGAGATCTGCTGCACCATGTGGGTCACCTCCCGGACAGGGGATCAAAGTTGTATTGAAGCAGCTGCAGGTAGCTTGCAGTGCTATACTTTAAACCCGCTGTGCCAACAGGGAGGGCCATATCTGCAAGTTTTTTTAGAAAGGTCATTTAGGCCCTCCCTGGTGGCACAGTGGGTTAAGACACAGCACTGCAAGCCAGCCACAGCGTCCTTAGTGTGAGTCCTGTCCCCCACCCCTGAGGTGACCCACATAGCGCGGCAGACCTCTCCTGTCCTGCCCGCTGCTCCCCTCAGCAGTGTACTTTGTTGTTCTGCCTGTTCCGCTCCCCACTCTGTCTCTGGTGAATCCTCTCACCACCCCTGCACACTGGCCTGTATCCCAGTTCTGCATGCATGCATAAATAAATCTTTAAAAAAAAATAAATGTCCAGATTCAGAGTTTCACCTAGGTTTCTGATAGCCAGAAAAAGGAGAACCACCTTTCCTTATACCTTTATGACTGTGTTTGGTTGACCAGAACCTATGATCTGGTTAGAGGGATATAAGTTATCCTGCACTTTAACAATAAGATATTTCAAATTCATGAGCAATTCTCTGAAAATCCAATCTTTAATCTAGTAAACTGTGAGTTTTCATTTTTGTGGCTCTCTCAAAAATTATTTTAATTTAACTATAAAAATAAAACTGCCTTCCTCTCTTCATTCACACATTGACTTCTTGGCTCACACCTTTCCCTGACTGATGGGTCTTTGCTTGGAACATCATCTTTGGAAGGCAGGGACATTATTCAGTTTGGACTGGACTCAATCAATCAGTCATGCCCCAGAGGATAGGAAATCAGGAAGAAGTTGGGGAAGATCAGAGAGAGTGGTTAGGGCCCAAGGTAGAGACTTGGGGAGGCGAAGTTAGAGCCACAGTTGTTCAAGAAGTCTGGAGGGGGAGGAGAAGCGGAGGGCAGCATGAGCCAGCACTGTGCTGACGAAAAGCAGACATGGAAATGACAGCTGGGTGTGTCCCTGCCTCTGTTACCTGTTGGTGAGGAGGTGTGGAGAGGGCAGCTATGTGAGGTTCACCATTGCCACCCAGTGGAGATACAGCCTTTCAGTCTTCCAGAGGGCTGAGCCAGGGCCTCCTTCCTAACAGAAGTTCTACGCATATTTGTTTTGGTTTCCTCAGGGAATCCTAACAGTTTAGAGAAAAATGGAATGGGTTATGGAATATATACTTATGCAGGACCTATTCCATTTATACGTTTCCTCAACGATTTCTCATAAAAACCCTAAAAGGACTAGATTGTTATCCCCATTTTGCAGATAAGATAATTCAAACAAAGTTAACAGTGCTAGTAGCTGATCCTTACCACTGAATTCATGTATCTGGGCTTTAATCTAGACTCCATTAATAATACCCCTGTCATCCTAGGCAAGTTGATACAATTCGACAAACCTGTGTCTTAAATGAAAGGCAGTGTGAGAAGTAAGATGACTGTATTCCTTCCAGTAGAAGGTGCAGGCAGGCAAAACTAAAGGCAACATTGCAAAGTGCTACAGCGTATCTACTTTTCAAACAGACCTTAGCTGAGCCATCAAGTGGATGGGATGAACTAGAGCAGGTGGAGGAAAACTTTTGCAATGAGGCCACACAGTTGATGTGTTAGGCTTTGCAGCATGTACAATCTCTGTTGCAACTCCTCAACTCTGTTTCAGTGTGAAAGCAGCCAGACAATATATAAAGGAATAGGGGTGGCCACATGGTTTTTACTGAGAGCTGCGAACTCAAAGGTGGTTCCCTACCCCAACAGTTTGGAAATGTAACATTAGCGAAGAACAATTCATTTTCTTATTGAATATTCACCCCACTGATATCT